GCTCTGTGATTGGTTGCGCTTCTTAAAGTCTCGGAAGTGTCATTTTTGGACATGAACTCAGCTTCATGTTAAATTCTACGTTGAGGCGACTCCGGGTTGATTTATTTTTATTAGTTTTGGGAGAAAATGAGCACCGAGGAGCTCTGAAGCAGGTGAGTTTGTAAAGTTGTGCTAACAGACAGTGTTCCTGTCGGGACCACAGTAAATGTTGTTTCCGAGCTTCATTGTCCTTCTGAGCACAACAAACTAAAACAAGCTGTTTGTTTCTGATGTTTAAACTGATAAGTTGAGAAGAAGCTCGATGAAATGTGTCTTAATGTTTAAAAACACAGATCTGGATCCAGCTGTTCGCTTCCTGTTTTATCTGAAGCGGTTTTAGCTTTACTCGTCTGTTCCTCTTCACGGTTTTCTGTCAAAACAGCGAAACTTTTGATCTTTAATATTATTTTTAACGATCAGTTCTTGAGCCGATTTCTTCGCAACGCATCATTGATCTGAAATCTGTATTTAGTTTGGTACAAATGCTTTAAAATCTTTGCAGACTTTAGTTTAAAGTGAAAAAGACGAGGATCTCTAAGGGAGTTCCGGGTTTCCTGGCCACTAAATGAAGATAAAGCCTGTTTGTGTCTGAGGCTGTGCAGCTGCTGGGTGGAGGCAAGGCTCTCTGAGTTACGGAAGTTGTTCCGGACGAGTTTTGACATGTTTCAGAGTTCTGCTCTGATCAGAACCGAACCTGAACTTAATCAGATTATATGACAGAACAGAAAAGGTTCATGTGAGCAGATTTCCTTTTTATCTTCATGATCTAAAGATAGAAACCTGCAGATCAATCAGATCAGATCAGATCAATCAGATCAGATCAGATCATCAGTCTATTCATCCAGAAAGAAGAACCGATTCTAATTAAGTTTCCCGTAAAATCTGAAAGTTACTTTATCTGATAGACTGTGGGTCCAGAACCTGAAGGTTCTGATTCTTATGAGAGGATCCAGATCTGAGAGGTTCTGCGTCTCAGAGGTTCTAGATCTTGGAGGTTCTGATGGACCCAATCTGGATTTAATGGGCCTCATGCAAGAACACGGACAAGAACATGGACACATGGACATGGACACATGGACACATGGAGATGGACACATGGACACATGGAGACACGGACACATGGAGATGGACACATGGACACATGGGCACATGGACATGGACACATGGACACATGGAGATGGACACATGGACACATGGACACATGGAGATGGACACATGGACACATGGGCACATGGAGATGGACACATGGACACATGGAGATGGACACATGGACACACAGACACATGGACATATGGACACATGGACATGGACACATGGACATGGAC